TCGTCGTCCTCACAACCGCAGCGCTACAATGTACATCACGGTCTGAGGGATGCATCCGTTCTATATCTTCAGTACCGCCACCAGGCGAGTGCGCTGTTCGAAGATATAGACGGATGTCGTGACGGCGTCATTAAACCCCGCCGTTTCGACACTGAGTTTTGGAAGGCGTTGGAGCACTAGCATCCCAGAGTTTGGGACGTCATCGACAGGACGGGTTTTGGCCCGATGTTTCAAATGGGCAGAGTTATGACCGACAACAGCCTCATCACGTGTGTGGTGGAAAAGTAGCAACCGGAGACGCGTACCTTCCACTTTGACTTCGGGGAGGCCACGATCACGCTGCAGGACGTACAAGTCCTTTTTGGTCTCCCGATCAATGGAGAGCCTTGTTGGGGAGCGAATGAAGATCGCACACCCTAAGACTGGCAACAATTTTTAGTGATTATCTAGGGTTCGAGCCCTATGTCCAGGTAAATTTTTCCTACAATTTTTTTTTAAAAAAATTTTATTTATGTTTACTCCATTCATTAATTTTTAATATACATAAACCACTCTCACGAGGTCGACGACCCATAGCGAGACCCCAAGACTTGGGCCATTACAGGCCAGTGGTTGAGGACCTATGCGTTAGAAGCAGAGTGCAACAGAGAGCTAACCGATGGAGACCACACCAGTGACTTCGAAGAGAGGGCAAGGGCCCTTATACTCTGGTGCATCGATTGCTTCTTCTTTCCAACCAGAGGGCCAATGGAGTGAACCTGTATTGGTTGCAGCATTTGTACGACATCGAAAAGATCAACACGTACAGCTGGGGTTCGGCGGTCCTGGCCGGAGTGTATAGAGCACTCTGCACGAGCTCCAAGGTCGGGGAAAACTGGATCAAGAACTGTGTCCAATTGATTCAGGTAAATACCTGAAAGCCTTAATTATGGTGGATTTTCGTCTTCAACACTTGACCAACCCCCCTCTGTGGTTGTTCAAACAAGCGACCACCCAGCTTGAAAGTCTTAATCATGTTGGATTTTCTCTTGAACACTTGCCCAACCCCCTCTGGGTCGTTCAAAACAAGCGACCACCCAGCTCGAAAGCCTTAATCATGGTGGATTTTTGTCTTCAACACTTGTCCAACACCCCCTCTAGGGTCATTTAAACAAGCGACCGCCCAGCTCGAAAGCCTTCATCATGGTGGGTTTGTTCCTTCGACACTTGCCCAAACACCTTTTTGGGTCATTCTAATAAATGACCACCCAGCTCGAAAGCCTTAATCATGGTGGATTTTAAGCCTCAGAGCCACCCATTAAAGTCTGTCTGGCCTGCTCATGGGACCATTTGAACAAACGACCACCCAACTCAAAAGCTTTAATCATGGTGGATTTGTTCCTTCGACCTCGCACTTGAATCGACCACCCAGCCCGTAGGCCTTAATCATGGTGGATTTTTGAAAAACCAAAGTGACCTGCCACTGAGGTCACACACAACATCACCAAACATGATAACACAATAATCTAGAGCAACAACATATGTTTCCATTAATTTCCAAACAGAAAAAGAATTTTCAAGCATAATAATTTTTCAAGTTTGTCACATTCCATGACCTGGGAAATGATCAGCCTTCTGAATCCATTAGTGAATATGCACCTCTGGCATGTACTTTCTTGACCAGATATTGTCTCTCCCAGTTCGGCTCCAGCTTTCCTACATTACTCAACACAGCGATTCGCTTGCAAATCAAATCCCCAACTTGAAATCTCATAATTTTGATCTTCTGGTCATGTGTCACTCTCATCCTTTCTTTGTACGCTGCAACCCTTTGATGCTTGTTCTCGAAGTTCATCGATTGTGTCGAACACTGCTCTTACCAACTCCTCGTTTTGCTCCTGGTTATATGTAGTCGATCGATGAGACTCCGGCTCAATCTTGACTGCAATAATGCTTCCATTCCATATGCTCAATTGAATGGGGTCTCACTCGTTGTCGACCTCGGGGTGGTCCGATATGCCCAGAGTACAGAAGTGAGTTCATCGACCCACGCCCCCGAGACTTTCTTGGTTACTATTTTTATTGAATCTTATTCTCTCTCTCTCTCTCTCTCTCTCTCTATATATATATATATATATATATATATATTACCAAAAGAAATAAAAAAAATAGTTAAGAATAATGTTTTAAAAAGAATTTTTATTTCGTGACAAAATATTTTTTGTAGGAAAACAATAAAATTTTATGTAAAAAAATATCTTTTTATGTAGATATAAATAAAGGTTCATAAAGCTAGTACTTATAAGGGAAATAACCAAGTCTCGTTTACAAACCTGTTATATAATTTGAAAATATTTGCGCAAATGTTACTCCTCATTTTATTAGCATTATTACGGTTCATATACCAAATAATTAGGAAGATGCCTAAATTAGTTTCCAAACTAATAACATGCACCAATAGATGAATGCTTCCATATAAAAATTTGCCTTATAAAAATAATAGGCAACAATTATAAATAAACTTTATCTTTATTATAAAAATCTTCTTTACATGACATCTATTAATAAAAATATTCATCCCTAAAATCCTCTCTCTCTCTTTGTTATATGTTGTGGTCGTCGGATTCCAAGCCATCGTCGGAGATGTCATCAAAATCCGAGCTTCGAGCTTGTGTCCGTAAATAATAGCGGATTTAATCTAAAAAACAAAGACCTCGATTAAAAAAAATATTTCTCAATTGGTGTTTGGACACACTGTAATAGGTCTTCGGTCTGATGCATGGGGTCTTGGAAGTCTTGATTGGCCAGGTAATGGAGGCTGATGGGTGACGACAAGAATGTGAACCAAATTTGTGGATTGCAGGTTCGATTATAAAATTTGACAAGTTTTGGGAACGTGTTTGTAATTTTTATGATTTTCATTTAGTTGCAATTGAGTCCTAGACTAATTTGGCGAGGAAGGGATGCCCATGATGTTTGTGTAGAAATTGGCGGTGGCGGGGCGGATGTCACCTGAGAAGATGGCAACGATGAGGAGGAGAGCGAGATGGCCGATAATTTACGAAAACCAAATTGTAATTCTTCCCAACACTTCTAATACGTGGTGTAGGTGTTCTGGGTTGCTCCAAATTCCAATAACAAGTCATTCTTCCTCAGTCGCACAAAATTTACACTAATTGGAACATGAATTGTGAATTCCTTGTACTATGTTATGCATTTTCATTGCTATCGCTACAATTCATAAACTATTAAAAAAATGTCAAGGTTGTTTTTGGTTCATGTGATTTGGCTAAAGAACAATTAGGAAAAGGATCAGTACAAAGAGTGGAAGGAAACTGCAATGCATCAAAGAGTTACAATAATTAGCAGAAGGAAACATCAAGCTAAGCACAACATGATTCCAAGACTGGGTTCAACCATCAGCTTCATTATATAAGAAATTGACCTTTTGTACTTTTAACAAGAGCCCAACTAATTGAGCTTCAAACAATGAGTACACATGCTGTTCTTTTCAATGTTTTTGCTCATCAAGACAAGACACAAGGTTTGCTTCCAAATATATATGATCAGCTACTGATTCCAACGAGTCTCGACCATAAGAAGTTCAAGAACGCGTATGTCCATTTAGCCAAGGTCAACGCCAAAATACGAAGAAAAAAAAAAAACAAAATACAGAAAACGAAAAACAAAAAAACACACGCGCACACACACAAATGCACCAATGCTTTCTACCGCTGCTTATCAATGTCGTAATGAATGCATGCATCAGCAGCTGTCTTAATCTGCCACCATTTAAACATTCGAGCAAGTTGAATAAGGGTCCAGCATTATGAAATAATTAAATACGGAAGAGAATCTGAAAAAGAGGGCCATTCAACATTTTGTGCAAAAAAAAAAGTAAAAAAGAAAAGGCTCATGCATTTTTTCTAAACTAGATCTTCGTGAGGATGCTGAACATAAATGTAAACCTTTCAAGATCAATGTAACACCTGATAAGTTGCTTAAACATGTAATTCAGAATATTAAACATATATCATACATACATTATTTCGAAATTGTGTAAACAAAATGAAAAACTATCAAAAAACTTTTATTGAAAAACAGAACCTAATAGCATAGGAAATGTTTCATCAACGTATTTGGTAATAAGATTTATCAGGCGCTTGTGGCATCAAATGAGCAACCATCACCTTCTAAGCTACATGTCTCAAGTACTCATATTTATCGGCTATACAAATAATATTCTACAACTACAAGCATGAGATATCCTAGGTTGTAATAAACCAAATAAATGGAAACATAATCAACACTTATCGATTTAATGTTGCTGAATTACTAATTTATATACCTGTATTACGTTGACTAGTTGCTTGATTGCCCATCCAATAAGAGTCATAGAAAGCAGAGAAAAATAGAGCCAGCTCTGCATAGCCGCATTTACTAAAACCTGAGAATAACAGGTTAAATAAGTGCCATAAATTTATGAATCACTTTGCCATATTAATAATAATAACACGATCATTATAACAAGGCTTGGGCTTACTTCACTGATATTCTCAGGCTGATTCTTTCCCAGAAGAAACAAAACAATGTAAAGAACCTGCCGACCAAATCAACGAATGAAGAAAACCCCCGATATGAGAGAGGGAAAAAGACAATTCTAGTGCAAAAATATATTACCTCACAAGACACACAGCAGTAACCCATGAACTTCCGATTTCCATAATAAAGCCTGAACAGCCAGCTGGTGCTATCTTTGACATCCTTATGACTACTTTTCCCCACCAAGAAGGAACTAAAAAATATAGCAAAGAAAATTTGAAGTTCTTGTCAATTAGAAGGCATCCACACAAGTAAAAACCCGAAAATTGCTCTGCAAAGACACGACACAGAACACGAAAACTTTGGAGCAAGGTAATTACCTATACATTTGCAACCAATGGCTGGCAATATCTAGAGCAAGTAATGACAAGAAAATAAATCCAGGTCTGCAAGCAGTAGAAAATCAGTGTTATTACTATTCATTGAGAAGGTACAAATCACGATTTAAAAATAAAGAGAAAGCTGAATTACCTATAAACTTGGGATAGAATAACCAAGAGACAGGCAGTACTTATTCTGGACGTCAAGATAATATCATGAGAGATAAGCATAAAAACATAAAGATTTAATAAGTGCAAGTTTACAATAGTCAATAGAATCAATTGACTTGATACCTATCAGTAACCATGTCAAGAACAGCTCCAAAAGTTGAAACTGAAATAGAAAAAGTAATGTGTGGGAAGTTATTACAATTAACAACAAAGCTTGACTAATCAGATTCCATTCAACCAGAAATCAAGATTCTGATAATAACCTTAACAGGAGCTTCATAATTTGTTAAATTAAAGTTCCATTCTTTAATGACCATTTTGTTTTATCAGTTAACGAAAAAGATATTCAATACTCCTAACTCATTGATGTCGGGTAATTATTATCCAAATTGAACAGCAAATCATAAACCCTAACCTTGATTCAATTTGCGTGCAAACCAACCATCCAATGCATCAAATACAAAACTGAAGAATAAAAGCCCCACGTTAGAGGACACCATTACCCGATCCAAGGAAAGAATAAGAGAAAAAAGAAAATTACGAAATCCTCACCTGATGAAATACAGTATGGAAAAAATACGCTTGTTCTCAAAGCATATCGCGAAAGCAAAGCAATTCATTATAATTCTCGCATAGCCTAGCAAACACAGACAATCACAAGATCGATTACAAAGAGAACTGCTAATAAATCACAAATTAAGTGGAGTAATAATAATGAAGTAGCTGATTAACTGGGACTAACCAATAACATTGGGAACATAGAGGTAAACGGTTAATGTGCTAGGTCTTGATTTATCCACCATCGGAGAATAGCTTCGGGTAATTTTTTATTGTGAATTCTTCAAACTATGGAGAACACATTGGAACACTTTACTCCTTTATTTCTTCAATTTTGGATTTTGATGAATTTAGCCTTCCAGAGTGCAGAAGCACAAGTTAGCGTTCAGGACCTTGTTGCTGAAAGGGGAAAAAAACAATGATTAAACGATAGAAATTTATTATTATAAACCTACATCTATCTATGCGCATATATAGAAGTATGTTGCAACTCTTTTCTCTCTGCTGAAGGGCTGGAACTGGCCAAACCGAATTGAAATTTGGTATTGGAATATATGCACACAGATATCGAAAATTCAGTTCGGGCCTTGGTTTCGTTTCGGTAATACCAAAAGTGCAAAAGCAACAAGAGTGAAGAATACGGGAAAAAAATCTGAAACATCCAAAGCAGTCTATTTCTTTGTTTCAGTGAAAACGATTGGAAAACAATAATTGATTCCAACCTAAAAATCGTAGCAAATAGAACCCAAGGAAACAAACAAACAAATAAATAAATATAATTTAAACAAATAAAAAATGGAAAACAAACAATTAAATACTATCCTGTTCGCGGAGGTGGAGAGGGAGGGAGGGCTACTAACCAGTGGAGATGGAGTGAGGGAGATGGAGGTGAATTTGAGTTATGCGAGCTGAATTGATTTGAAGAAGAACCCTTCCCTGGTTTAGATTCAAACAATACTGGTAGCGCTTGGCGTGACTTGTGAAGGTGTATAAACCATTTGTTTTAAGAGAAAATAGTACATAACCGTGGGATATAAAATTTGAAAGAATAATATAATCTCACGTGTATTAGGATCGAAATTGAAATTATTAAACACATAGTAACATTGTTGAATCATAAAAAATTCGGTAATAATCATAAATTATTAAAAATCTCCTTGTACACAATATTATGAGTTTGATTATTTGGTAATTCCTTATTATCAAAAACTAATATTTTCAACCTCCTTCTATTATTTACACGCGAAGAAGCAACATATAATTGGCTGTGACTAAAAACGGGATTTTTTCAAGAAAAGACCAACGTGCGATAAAAAAAGAGTTTTTAAAAATTGAAAGTCAAGGCAATCAGTTCAGATTAACTAAATATCCGGTTATTGATATAGAGTGGTTGCCAAAAAATAGAACGTGATAAGGACGTTTCATGGAAATATCAATGGGATAAGATCATAACAGATCGCTATATATTTTAACGATAAAAGCTGAATGTTTTAATTAGATGTGTGAAAAGTACATAATTAATGAGAAGTGTGAAAATGACAAAATTAATGAGAAGTGTGAAAATGACAAAAACTTACTTGTTTTGGAAAATATTTAATGCAAATCCGAGATTGACCATAATTTGACCTACTATTTTGGATAAATGTTAACTCTTATTATATAAGTATAGATGATATAAGTACGTAGAGATGTACATAACATTAAATGGNAGCACATATTCTACGCTATTTTGCGCTATATTTTCACACCTATATTTATACCATAAAATATTCAAAAACATATATTTTTTAGAGATTACAGTTATATTTTTAAATGACAATTGAAAACTAAAATTTTCATAATGATTTTAAATTAAAAATTTAAAAATGTAAAATCCTAAGTTGAATAGTGTAATCTATATCAATATCATTATATTAGACATTTAAATTTAATAATAAAGAGTTCAGATTTAGTGGCTAGAATTAAATTGTAATTAAATTAAAAAAATAATTACAATGTATATGCTTAAAATTAAATTATGACTTATCTTATTATATTTTTGTTGTTTATTTATATTATGGTATTACATTAAGCATTTGTAAGAAATATTTCTTAAATGTTAATTTGAGTTCATTCAAATATTATGATAATTTTTAGAATCAACGATCCAGTTTTATTATATGCAAGTATATATATAATATTTCTATATAAATAATTTTTTATACTCAATTAGTTTACGCAATATGCAACGCTATTTACACTACGCAGTATAAAGACCAAAACGCGACGCATTACGCTATACGCGTTTTAATACACTGAAATAAACTAGGTGTATTTAAGAGTAAATTGTAATTTTAGTTCTGTATGTTTCACTACCCTAACTTGTTCGTCCTCTTCGAATTGTGTTTGATTTTCGTCCGGTATTTTGCAAAAAAGTTACAAAAAGGTCTTTTCGCAACAAAAAGGTCCTTTATGTTTTGCAAAAAAAAAGTTTCAATTTCATCCCTTATGTATGAAAATGACTTTTTTGTAACGTTTTTGCAAACAAATGGGACGAGAATAAGAAACGCAATTCGAAGAGGGCGAAAAAGTTAGGGTAGTGAAATTTACAGGACTAAAATTGTAATTTACTCTGTATTTAATCGAAAACTTTTGGAGACTTTTTAAGGTGAGTGATTTTAGTGGACTTTATGAAACTTTTGGGCTCGATTGGTTATAAGTTGAAATTGATCTTGATTGACCAGATAATTTTTTATACTATTTAACTCAAAATTCAACTCAAATCTCTTATATATTATTAATATAATTAAATAATATCAATGGTCTTCACATATCACATCAACTTTAATTCACTATGTATTACTTTTCTAAAAATCTGACCGGTCATCGAACCGATCAAGCTACTGGTTCAATAGTTCACTGGTCCCACCAGTAGTTGAACCAGTTGGACCGGTATTTAATTTATTAATATTTTTAAACATACATAATATTTTATATAATAAAATTTACATAAAAAAAACTTTGTTAATTAAATTTTAAGCCAGTTTGAAACATTCAAATATTTAAACTAACTAATAATAACTTATATATATCCATTATATTTATATATGTATTTTTTATTTACCTTATTTTAAATATATTAAGATTTTTTTTATCTGGATCAGTTCAACCGATTCAACTAGACCCGTTTTTGGCAGGTTTAGACCGATTCAACAGGTCGTTGATCGGTTCGTTGGAAACTTGTTCATTCCAACGAACCAGACTGGTTCCCGGTTCCATCGATCGGACCGACCGGTCTAGTCTGGTTCTTTGAGGTAAGAACCATAAACCTTTTTTGTGATAATACCAGTGTGATTAATATCTATAAGAATCTAGTTCAGCACTCTCGAACAAGCACATAGACATTCATTACCATTTTATTAGAGGTTGAGGATGAAGTAATTATTCTAGAATATGCTCCAATATTGAATCAGTTGGCTGATATTTTCACCAAAGCACTGGATGTTCAAAGGTCCATATCTCTAAGGAAATCCTTAGAGATGTGCACCATGTGATTGCTTGTGTGAATTGAATTATCTTATATTATATTGTATATTAGTAAGCTTATAGAATATTGTATTAATCATATTTTGCATCTTGAATTTATTTCACTACAAAAGTAATGATTGATGTTTGAACTCTGTATAAATTGGTGAGATCTTATTGGCTGAAGATTGATTGCGTGTTTTTACATACTTTGGGACTTTTTCTGCCTGTCAGAAAGAGCTACCATCACACAATGATTTATTGAGAAAATTAGCACATGGTCCATTTCCTACGGATCGGCTGTGAAAAGAGCTTCATAAACAGAAAATGTTATGAAGTGTGAAAGCTACTTACAAGCACTTCACTTAGTTGTGTGGTGTTCGAACATGGAGTAATAAGGTGGACATCATCATAATAAACACAATGCAATATGAAAATCATGTTCTTGCACGAGTTCAATTTCAGTTGCTTAAAATCATTGTTGCAAAGTAATGAGGTTGACTTTTGCCAATGTGGTGATTGTCACCAAGTGAAAAACACTTTGAATAATAATGCCTCTATTTTATGTGCATAATTTTTTTTTAGAGCTATATGAGTTGCACTGTTTCAGTACTACGCCCCATGAATTGACACTTGTATGTTCTGTTTCACAAGATTGATTTCGTGGATAATCATCTCACAAAATCCTATTTATATGGACTAGAATGGAAATTATTGTCTTTTGTATTTTTTCAATGCGATTTTATTTCTTTTTTGCATATTAGGCATATTGCATATGATTTCCTTCCTTGAGTGAATTTTTTGGTCATTAAATATTATGTGGAACTATGTTTTAGAATAAAAATAAGATTCTTCCAGTTTTATTGTTGATTTTTTGGGAAGTGTTTTTTTGTGCTAAGTTGAGATGTTTGAATTCAAAGTCTTCGAGGGATTTGTTGCCAAATTAAACAGCCACTTTTTCTCTCTCCACCTTGAATCCCAGAAACCGCCTCCACAACTTCCTTCTTGATCATATCTTTTCAAAACAGACATACGCAATCTCTGCCTCCATATATCCTTCGATCAAATCACTCAGAGTTATATCCTCTCATTTTGCCTTTGAAATTCAAAAAACCCGTGTTCCTTGTTCCTTCTCTGTTTTCATCACCATGATTGGAGACAAAAGCTCCTCCAAGAGCTCTGGTCCACACTCTAAGAGGATAAAGGTTAAGGCTAAGAAGGCCAAATACTCTGTTTGCACAAGCACGCAGACCCCCTCATCACTGGAGACAATGGCGTCCGATATCCTCTTGCTTTTGTTCCAATGACCTCAGTTCCTCTCTCTCCGTCGCCGATGAAGTTGACCTTAACCGTTGGTACTGTTGCACCTCCGCCACCACCAGTCTATGATACTCCTTAACGAGCACCAACTTCTCCCCCGTCTACGCTGGTAGTCACCACCAACATTCCTCCACACTCGACATCTCCTAAGGGGAAGACGTATGGGGATCCAGCCTCCATGAGAGAAGCCAACAATTTCTCCAACCAATCACTGAAGGCAGGTGAATATGATGATACTGCGACGAAGTCCTCCATATATGATTCACTCCAGGCTGCAGCGAGGTCAGATGTTCCGATCAATAGACTCCTAACAAGGCTCAGCGTTCCATTTGCCGCTCCAATTTTCATAATGGAAAGGATAAGGTTGTCGATGATGAGCCTGAGGATGATGTTTATGATCTTCCGTCTGCCTTCTCCAATCAGTTTTATTCGAAGCTGTCCAAGGTCATTTTGAAGAATTTACCAAATGTGAGTTTCACTGCTCTGAGTGTGAGGTGGTTGGTATGAAATTTGAAGAGGTTGGTATTCTTGATTTAATCAAATATGTTGGTCTTTAGTCGTCTATTACCTAGTTTCCTCCTTTCTGCTCTCAAATCATGAAAAAATTTTATGCCAATTTGACTCTTTGTGTGTTTGATCCTAAGATTTTCCTTCGATTAGGGTTATTGATTTCAATCCGTCTTTGTTGAATGTTCATCTTGGGTTGTCTGTTGTTGTTCATGTTCCCCTTTGAGATTGATTTAGATGTTCTTACTTCTGTTCTGTCGGGTGGTCATTTTGAGAAATTTGTGCCTAGCTCATTGCCAATTTGTTGCATAAGATAGGTGCTTGCAATTGGACCCCAACTATGAACAAACACCAGTTGACTGAACTTCACTACTGCAAGGTGATCTATTGGGTTATGATAGAAAGACGGATAAAATTGGGAGTTGTGATTTTTGAGTGCTTACGATCTTTTCTTATTAACATCTGATTGAACTTAACTTCAATTAATTGATATTATTACTTTAAATTAATATTGGTTAAGTTGAAATATATGTCAGATTTCTTTCATAATATTGTGTTTAATTATATCTATATCTATATAATGAACCAAACCATATTGCAATATTAAGCATGATATTGGGGAAAAAGTTTTTCGTCTATATTTGACATTTAATTAATCTTTATTTATTAGTAAATCTTATATAGGAAAAAATAATTACTTTTTGTGTACTCATTGGTTAATATTCATTAACTATAATTGACTTAAGTGTGAATTATTTTGACTGTAGATTGATTAGATATATTTTCAATAAGATCTTAATATTAATCTCATAGCAATTTATTGACATAATTTAAAAAATGTCATGATAATTGATTTGGCTAGATATTGTAGATATTAATTTAGTTAATTATATTCATCATTAAGAAGTACTTAATATAAAATATTTAATAAAATAATCAGAATAACTATGTTTGAATCATACTAACACAATGAATAATTTAAAATATTAATAAATTTTATTAAAATATAGTCAACTTAACCATAAAAAGGTAAATCTCCATTTAATATATCATTTGTAATGATAATACTATTGAAATTAAAATATATTAATTTGATAGTCGGGTACAAATTATAATTCAAAATTATAGATTTTACTTTAAATATATCTATGTACACTAAAAAGCTATTCAAGTTTATATAGGCTGAAAATGATTTAAAGAAATAAATATAAAAATAAAAATAAAAATATTTAATTACGAAAAATTTGTGTTGCATAAGGATTAAAGTTACCAAAAATTAAAATTTAATTATCAAACATTTTAACATTTCATGCATTTAGAATTATAATAAAAAAAGATAAACATTATGGGATAAATATTGATCAATTATCGTGCAATGTGCAAATTATGAATTGTTAGAAAAATGCTAAGATAACCGACAATTTTATATAAACTTGTAAGTATTTTGTATGAAAATATCATACGATCTTATACATTTATAATATTTTATCAACTTATAAATAATAAAATTTATATATTAAATTGTCAAGACCTACAAAAAAATTTAAAAGTTGAAAGAAATAATAATATAAATAATAAATTTTATATTATTAATGAATTGAATTGTGTTGAATAGAATTGAACAATGTCCTAAATAATTTAATAATATTTAAATAATATATATTTTTTTTAGTATACTCTGTGTATCACACGAGTGTCAATGCTAGTGTAATAAATAGTTGAAAATAACAACACATGCTAGCTTATTTATAATAACTTGACTAAAATTTATTTATATTTTATCGTACAACGTTTATAGTATAGTTTTGACATAGAATAAAAGAAAAACATTTGGTTAAAAAATCATTTATCTATCTCCTCATTAAATTTTTAATAATTGATCTTAGTTCTTATTAATTTGAAAATAACATTCGATCGACTGCAGCATAATATAATACGGTTAGGAACGTTAATTAAATTCATCTAAAACATTCCTTTATTATCATGGAAAGTAAAACTAAACTTCCTAACCCAATTAGGAATTAGGATTTAATCAACGAAACATTAATTAATATCCCTACTCCTCATTATTCTAGGAAATAATATTTAAAAGCCTATAAATATACACATACCCACATCATGCAGACTTGCAAAAAAAATATTTAATTAGTAATAATGGCTCCACCAATGCTGATTTGGCTCCATCTCACTCAAGAAAAACACACACCAATCGGCTCTTCCCACGGCAGGCTAGCTTTCTCCGGCGACGACCAAAACCCAAACGACCCTTTCCTCTTCTGCCCGTTTTCCAGTACCCGAATCCGTCTCCCAAGAATCCATTCCCAGCTCGACAAAATCGTCCTTTGCGGCAACCCGTCTCACGACCCAAACTTCACCGCCTTAGCCATCCACAATGCTGACGTGGCCTTCTGCAGGCCCGACACAAGCCAGACATGGGCCCGTCTCGACTCCGATCTCCCGACAATCTACGACATAATCTGCTGTGACAAAACCAAGACCGCTTTCATTCTGGGCCCGGGACCCGCCATCGAGGCATGGGATATGGGCTGGGCCTTGCCGTGCAAGAAATCCGATATTCTAGAAGATTTCAGCCCGGAAGCTGTGGCGAGGGCCGAGGAGAGGTACCCGCGCCAGCTGTACACGACGAGGTGGTACCTTGGCCGGTCGGAATTAGGGGAGTTGTACGTTGTGGTGAGGTACGTGGGAGAGTTTGTGAGGCATGACGGGGAAGTTGTGAGCGAAGGGGACACGCTCACGGATTATGCGGCCGAGCCGTTGGTTTGCCCTTACAAGACGGTGGGTTTCGAGGTTTTTAGGTATAGTGGTGATTGCGAGGGGAATAATAAGTGGGTTGTGGCGGGAGATTTGGCGGGAAGGGCTATGTTTTTGGGAGGGAATCAGACGGTGATGGTTGAGGAGAAGGAGGGTTTGATGAAGGATGCGATTTATTTTACGGATGATTATTGGGAGNTGGCTATTTTGAAGATGGCATATGTGTTCCTTTTTATGGAAGGTGTAATGTGCAGATTTAAAATTTCCGTCTCTCTCTATGTTTTTAGTGTTTGTTAATTATTCTGGCAGTATTGAAATGTAGAAAGTGTGAAATAAAATATTAGATTTAGATGTCACATATTTGGTGGTTTCTTTGGATACTAGGTTTTTTGTTTGTTTCTTTAGCAAATTAATTAGCATTGCCTTGGTAATCACACACGACATACCAAACCAATTATGTAGCGAAAGTAAGACGAGCCAAGGTCAGATTTTTTCTTGCAAACCTTAAAGAATGCACTGAATATGAAAAACTTGAAAGAGAAAACATCTAAAAACGAGCTCATTCAGCATCAACCGCACTTAACTCGTAAAAACTCATTGTTTCGTCTTCCGTAGCCAATCAAGAAGACTCCAACTAGCGCAAGAAGAGATTGAATGATAGTAAATTTCTATATCTCACATTGGGCACCTATCACTGTATGAGATCATTATCATCTCATGTCTGATTTGATGATCAAAATAATAATTTTTACACCACTTGTGAGAGAAAAAAAATGCCAACATAATAGACTATTGTTCTTTTATTAATATTTAGAACATTAATTAATAATTTTTAAAAAAATGCATAATCCTATTACGGTAGTAATTTACACTATGTGATTAAAATAACAATATAATGAACCAAATGTTAAAAAAGGTCAACATAGCTCACCATTTGCACACGTCGGCTAAACTATTGATCATTTGTGATATTTTCCCATCAGGTATTTGTAGTACAATCTTGGCTTGAACTCTTGGAATTGTAGATTCTTAAACACTTCGAATAGCAGATTTTCGTTGGACTTGAACTTGGGCATCTCAATTGAATATTAGGGGTACTTATCTCACTTGTTCTTCTATCATGTCAGTTCAAAGTTCCCAAACGTGGGGTAACTTAGATGTGATACAATATGATTCCTTTATTTTCTTGCACAGTGCCATATTCATTTTGTCCTATATCCGTCAAGTTTCGCAAAAATGCATTTAAAAAAAAAAATAAAAAATCAGTACCTAGACATATTTTGAGTTGTGAGTCCCACAACCCCGCCGTAGTAGACTCGAATCACAAATTAATGGTGGACTAGCTAAAGTGACCATTAGTTCACAGACAATCCAAGTTCGTATTAATGCATAAATGCTTCTCATAAAACATCACGAAATCGAGATTTGCCCACATCAGATTGGAATGTAAAAAAATCCAACCAAAAGATGAAAGAAAGCAAATACCAAACAGAATTGAGAAAAATCCCGACCGAAAAACCACACAGCACTCCATGACTTTCCAAATGGGCCAAACACTTGAAAGAAAAAAGTCAGGATTCAAAACTAGAGAACCATAATAAGCCTCTGAATTTCTGGAATTATGGCACAGAATGAGAAAGGAAGGCACTGAGATATTTGATTAGAGTTGTTGCATTAACTTGCCTACGCAGGCCATTTGGTTCTCATTCACTTTTTCGGTGTCATGTTATGTTCACTTGCCATAAGTCCTTCCACCACGGCCTCTGCCTCTTCCTCCACTTCCTGATGAATAAGAACAAAAAATTCATTTCAAAAGATCAACCTCTTAAACATGCTAAAAAGAGCAATATGCATATCAAAGCTTTTGTGTGGTCATAAAAGTCACAAAAATACAATTAGCGCGTGAATGTTGATGTTATACACTGTTAAGAGTTCTGAAACTAATTGCAGGTCATTCAGTTATGTTCCAAAATCACAATAACCTCCCAGGGGTATTACAAATATCCTCTTGGTCTTGTATTTTCTTGAACCTCAAGTCCATGGTGCAGGTTGTTGATAAAGAAAAATAGGTCAGCTAGTGTTGTAATTCTGAACCTGAAGATTTTTCTTGTCAGAATGAACCTAAAGATTATTTTCATTTCCTTTTTAATCCCCTTCTTTTTCTCTACTTCTTGTAAGCAAACCTAGCTTATCTAACGTGGTTTGACGCCTAAACACAATTGGAAAACAAAAGGAAAAAAAATAAAAATAAAAAACAGAAAAGGAATAAAGCAAACCAACAGCAGAATGAAACAACTGAACAGATCTGTACAAGAATTAACAAGTCCAATAGATAAATATATGTGAAAAATGTAGATAAAAAAACATACTTCCTCCACGAGAGGCACCACTGTTAGGCCTTCTCTCCTCAATGTACACTTTCCTTCCTGCCAATTGAATAGGAGAAGCCTACAAGAAAATAAAATTCTCAAACACACCATAATTTGGATTTTGGGCAAAATCATCACTTACCAGTTTAACAAAGTAGCCATGATGTATAGAATATAAGAAGACAGAAAAAATGGAGAACATATTAGAAGTTGGTTACATGGTAGCTAAGTCATGGAGATTCACAAATATGTATAACTGGAACAGTTCCAACTTCCAACAGCACCAAAAAAATAAATAAATAAATAAATAAAGGAAAGAAAAAAGAAAAAGAAAGGAAGAAAGGGCATTTCTTTCCCAAATGGACAAGTTTCCAACCTGAAGTGCATTCCTAACACTCTGAATATCTTCAAACTCGACAAAGGCATAGCAGACACCAGTATCCTATCCACCACAAGCAGATTCAGAGATTTCACAAGCATATATAATTTACACCACATAAAAGATAAATGAAAAGGCAACAGACCGCGCGATTCCTCAAGAAGACTCCATCATATGTGATTCTCCCAAAATTCTCAAATTCTTGCTGAATATCCATACTTGTGATGGTAGAAGGCAAGTTCCTCACATAGACAGATTTCGGTTCTCCTGAATAAACAATTTATATAATCACATAACAGAACCAAATAATTAAAGAATATTGATATATCCACATGTGGGAAACTAGGAAACAAAATCACAATGTGTGGATATATCATCCTTCAGAGTCTTAGGTAAAAAACACACAAATGAAAAACGAATTTTTACAACCAAAATGCCAAAGCATAGATTCCCACAAATTGTATTTCATAAATTAAATATTACCATTGTACCAATCCAACAAAAGTAACCTCAAAAGTTGTACCACAAGAGACATGCAAATAAATTTGCAATTAAAATGACAATGCATTAGGAAAGAGATCTAAACCTTCAGGAGATTCTATTGGTTATAGCATAACAACATAGCAACCTTTGTGCAGTGAAACAAATGTATTTAATAGTACATAAATAGGCTTTACCCTCATGTGATGACAATGCATCTTCCCTGACATCTGAATCAGAATTCGTTGCATTTGGGGTTGAGTGTTGCTGCAAAGGTTTGGACACATGGTTCCAATCTGCAACAGGCGGTCTATGAGTGGAAGCTGGCTGAGAACTTAATGATGGTGGAGATTTTCCTTTAGCCCTCAGCTTCCAAGTCAAAATCGAATAATAAATTTAGCACGACGATCTTTGTAGATAAATGAATAATAAAAATAGTATAAATTCTCAACAGAACTCCTCCAAAGTCAATAATGCAAATAAATAAGAAAGACCAGTCACCACGATAAAAAAAGTATTGTTGCAGTTCGCAAGCCAGTATGGTATCAATTACTTAAAATAACAAGTCTAAGAGATATAGTCAAAAGCAACACCTTGGCATACATTACACAAGTACTAAGCAGATGACTAATCTTCTTTCTCACTAATATTTATTAGGTTATCATGCAGCATTTGTAGCCAAGTCAGATGCATATTCCGAGGCAGCTCACTATCAGGTAACATAAAACCATTACTTTTCATGCACTTTGGCAATGATTTCAAAGAAAAATCCACATGACACAATAATTATTTAATTCTTGAAGTAGACCAAAGTAAATAATGCGTACTATAGAAGCATAGGTCAGCTTCTCGGGTTCTCCAATAGATTCCTCGACAGAAAGGTGAGGTTCTTGCACAGTAGTTACTGCATTTTTAAGCAACTGACTAGGTTCTTCATAAGGAGTTCCCTCAACAAGTCTATCAGCCTCAGACTCCAACTCGGGCTCAAGCTCAGGCTGTATCTCGTGCTCGGCTTCCGGATGAAGATGCTCTTGATAAGCAAAATCCTGAACTGGCTCATCTCTGTCAATATGAACAGAGTGAACATATTCTGCTGCCTCGTCCTCTAGTGCATAGTCCGACACTGCTGAAGAACAGACTTACTTAGATTTACTCCAACTCAAAAATGAAGAAGGTAAAATTGCAGTAGCATGGAAAATAGTCTTAAGAAACTAGAGAACAGAGGTTCAATAAAACTTGAATCAAAAAGAAAAGGGAAGAAAAATAGTTAGAACATTCTTGTAAACCTTCATGATAAATTTGAGATTTTCATCAATTACCCAACAGCATGAATCATATTCTTCTTGACATCTGTCATTGATATAACACTACAACAAAATGGAAGACTATCCTCCAAGTTTAACCCAGAAGCTTGAAATCCATTTGATAATCTTGAATCTTGATATACTTGATTTACGCTAGATGCGGTAGAAACATGTACATTATTATTTGCATATTTATGGAGATTAACTTTATCAGTCTAACCAATATTAGACAATCATGCAATCCTTAATCCAAGAATTAGGACATACATCGTACTTTGATTAAAAACAGGCTATATTATAGTCGCATTTTAATGTGAACAAGATTCGTCACCATCGATTCAATAAAGACAATCAACAGCACAAAATTTGTCTTTTCTTTCATAGGTCTCATTGTTCTCATGCCCGGAATGGTTACATTTGAATCTACAGGAAACCTAGCGTGCTCATAATAAACTAAAATGATCATGAGTCAGTCAACTATACCGGGTGGATCAGGATGATGAGTAGAAATAGGCGGGTGATAATCAACATTCCGTTCCTGTGTTGATACTTGAGATGAAGATTGGTGTGCCACTTCATTATCAGCAAAATGGAACATATCATTCAGAACAAAATAACCTTTCTCTTGTGGAGCAAGGAAAAAGGTCTGCACGAATGTCCTCCAATAATTGAAATCTATTGACTTGACGGAGCCAGTAACAACCACAAGAACGCCGCGATTCCATGATTCAAGGGAATTAATTGTCTTGATCTCAATACCAGTGAAATTGAGTGACATGAGCAGTTGATGAATTTTCTGCATTAGGAGAGAAATGGTTGCATGTACCACCAATTAGAACTTGATTTTATGCTTTTAATCAATTATCTACTCAAACCCAAAAGCCTGTAGCAGTGCTCCATATTGTCCCTCAGTTTTTGAAAAAACAATAATAAAAGGCCTTATATTTATTCACCAGTTAAAGCATGCAGGAACTGTCTGGTTAGTGATTTCCATCAGTCAAAACATATACAACATCAACAGCAGATACATAAACTCGTGACCAACTAGGGAGCATCATCACCATGCACAAAGGAAATTCTGGAACGAGCAGCATATCCTTATCAGAAAGCATATTCTGAAACTCTCTTAAAGTTCAGAATATAAGAAACTATCATCATAAATATTCGACAACACAATTGTAAGAAGACAACCTACTTCATAAAAAAAAAATAATAATAATAATAATAAATAAATAAATAAATAAAAACTTATCATGATTAGCTCAACATCAAATCATGTTCATATAGAAGAATAAGGTATCATGCTGATTCTTGGTACTTTATTCACTTTATGAAAAGACTGATTTGAGCTAAACAAATCGGCCAATTTGCTCCAAGTACCCTACTTAACGAGGCAAGGTATGTAAAGCTTACAAAGAGTTCATATTTTTATTTACAAACACACTTTTACTGGCATATGATTTCACGAAACCTTATAGTGTCATCAGTCCCTGCAACAAATTACACGTATCGCAGAATCAAGAATTATGAAAATGGATCACAGGCAACAAGCACAGCACAATATTACAAAGTCTCACCACACACTAAACTCTGAAGGAACCAAGATTCATCAAAAGTCCAATTTCAAGCCAAAAGAATAAATAAATATTCTCTAAATCTAAGAAGGAAAATGTGCCATTACCACCATATCAGACGCTGAATGGTTGATTTCGCCATCAACTCTAAGCATGGTGCTCGACTCATTGTAGAACTGATGCACGTAATCCCGCTGCTGCTGAAACACCTGATAGTATTGCTGAACAAAGTATGAACCAACCTAATAATCCAAAAATGGGTATCAAGATTTAAGAAGCTGGAAAAAAAATGGAACTATTTCGAGTATTGATAAATGAAAAATACGCAAAGTGAGGATGCAAGTGTCTGATTTTACCTGAGTCGCGGTGACCTGAGATGCGTATTGATTCGCCATTCTCCCCCCTTCTGTCAATCCCTCGATAAAAGGAGATCGCAAAATACAACCCTAGATCAGAAAACCCTTATTCAGAAAGAAAGAGAAATATATATATATATTTTTTTTTTTATACTCTAGTTTTTGTTTTATTTTAGAAAAGAAATAATTTATTCTCTTACGTTTTTCAGAAGAAAGAAGAAGCCAGCTGCGAAATGGAGTTACAGTGAATTGACTGTTTATCTCCAAGATCAGAACGAGAGATTTTGGCTATAACAAATTAGCCCGTTTTGACTAACCGGGAATTTTGTTTACCCTTTTTAATTCAAAATTTTCAAACGTAATTCACTCAACTCTTCTCTATATAATTAAATAATTTATATTTATATTTATATCTATTAATATATATAAAAATAGGAACTTACTAAAAAAAATTAAAATCCCGTCTAAAAATGTTTAACTATTATTGGTAATTTTTTTGAAATTTTTCATTTATCCTGACAAATAACAATATAATGAACCAAATGTTGAAAAAGGTCAACATAGCTCACCATTTGCACACGTCGGCTAAACTATTGATCATTTGTGATATTTTCCCATCAAGCACCATTTGCAAAAGGGGAAAAAAAAAATCAAATATTTGTGGTACAATCTTGGCTTGAACACTTGGAATTGTAGATTCTTAAACACTTCGAATAGCAGATTTTTGTTGGACTTGAACTTGGGCATTTCAATTGAATATTAGGGGTACATGTCTCACTTGTTCTTCTATCATGTCAGTTCAAAGTTCCCAAACGTGGGGTAACTTAGATGTTATTTAGGGGTGGTATCGGTTCGGTTACCGAACCGATAAGCGTATACCGATACCGTACCGATATGTCGGTTACCTCGGAATGCAAAATCGATACCGAACCGATTAAAGTCGGTTACCGAAAATTCAGTAACAGAAAATTCGGTTCCGTTTCGGTTCGGTATCGGTTTTATACCCAAAACCGAACCGATTTTGAGCACACAAAAAAAAAATTGTTAGTGTTTACTTTTCTCGTCATTTTTGTAATTTTTTTCACTTCTTACCAATTAAATACACACAAAAGACTCAAAAATCCATTGAAGGATTAAAAAGCTTAAATTTAATGTACAGAAGTTAGTTTATATATTATTAGATTATGATTTTTGTGGTAAACGCAATTAATAAAACAATATATTGCTAACATGCAAGAAATAAAATTTGTGATACTAATTCAACTAACTTATCTAGTAACGGTGGTATGAGAATAGACTTCAGTAACGGTAGCATGCATCTTCTTTAGAAGAAGTGAGATTGGTAAACCAACAATGTTCCGATTTGAAGGTGAATGAGGAAATGAGTAATGGTATTTTTCTCGTCATTTTGAGATTTAGGTAGAATTGAACCCTTATTTTAAATTTTGAACACTAAACAACTAATCATTGTTTTAATATTTAAAAAAAAAAATCTTTGTTTTATTTTTTTTTACCCTTATCGGTTCGGTATCGGTTTTACCGAACTCTTATGGGTTCAAACCGATACCGTACCGATAGTGATTCAATAACCGATAGTCGGTTACCATTACAAGCGGTTCGGTACAATTCGGTTTATTTTCTCGTCGGTTCGATTTGGTTCAGTTCGGTTTCCAGTTTTCGGTTAAAAAATGCCAGCCCTAGATATTTATACAATAGGATTCCTTTATTTTCTTGCAGAGTGCCATATTCATTTTGTCCTATATCCGTCAAGTTTCGCAAAAATGCATTTAAAATAAGAATAAAAATAAAAAAAAATCAGTACCCAGACATATTTTGACTTGTGAGTCCCACAACCCCGCCGTAATAGACTCAAATCACAAATTAATGGTGGACTAGCTAAAGTGACCATTAGTTCACAGACAATCCAAGTTCGTATTAATGCATAAATGCTTCTCATAAAACATCACGAAATCGAGATTTGCCCACATCAGATTGGAATATAAAAAAATCCAACCAAAAGATGAAAGAAAGCAAATACCAAACAGAATTGAGAAAAATCCCAACCGAAAAACCACACAGAACTCCATGACTTTCCAAATGGGCCAAACACTTGAAAGAAAAAAAGTCAGGATTCAAAACTAGAGAACCATAATAAGCCTCTGAACTTCTGGAATTATGGCACGGAATGAGAAAGGAAGGCACTGAGATATTTGATTAGAGTTGTTGCATTAACTTGCCTACGCAGGCCATTTGGTTCTCATTCACTTTTTCGGTGTCATGTTATGTTCACTTGCCATAAGTCCTTCCACCACGGCCTCTGCCTCTTCCTCCACTTCCTGATGAATAAGAACAAAATATTCATTTCAAAAGATCAACCTCTTAAACATGCTAAAAAGTGCAATATGCATATCAAAGCTTTTGTGTTGTCATAAAAGTCACAAAAATACAATTAGCGCGTGAATGTTGATGTTATACACTGTTAAGAGTTCTGAAACTAATTGTAGGTCATTCAGTTATGTTCCAAAATCACAATAACCTCCAGGGGTATTACAAATATCCTCTTGGTCTTGTATTTTCTTGAACCTCAAGTCCATGGTGCAGGTTGTTGATAAAGAAAAATAGGGCAGCTAGTGTTGTAATTCTGAACCTGAAGATTTTTCTTGTCAGAATGAACCTAAAGATTATTTTCATTTCCTTTTTAATCCCCTTCTTTTTCTCTACTTCTTGTAAGCAAACCTAGCTTATCTAACGTGGTTTGGCGCCTCAACACAATTGGAAAACAAAAGGAAAAAAAATAAAAATAAAAAACAGAAAAGGAATAAAGCAAACCAACAGCAGAATGAAACAACTGAACAGATGTGTACAAGAATTTGCAAGTCCAATAGATAAAAACACATACTTCCACCACGAGAGGCACCGCTGTTGGGCCTCCTCTCCTCAATGTACACTTTCCTTCCAGCCAATTGAATAGGAGAAGCCTACAAGAAAATAAAATTCTCAAACACACAATAATTTGGATTTTGGGCAAAATCACCACTTACCAGTTTAACAAAGTAGCCATGATGTATAGGATATAAGAAGATAGAAAAAAGGAGAACATATTAGAAGTTGAATACATGGTAGCTAAGCCATGGAAATTCACAAATATGTATAACTTGAACAATTCCAATTTCCAACAGCACCACAAAATATATATATATATATAAAGGAAAGAAAAAAGAAAAAGAAATGAAGAAAGGGCATTTCTTTCCCAAAAAAAGAAAAGTTTCCAACCTGAAGTGCGTTCCTAACACTCTGAATATCTTCAAACTCGACAAAGGCATAGCAGACACCAGTATCCTATCCACCACAAGCAGATTCAGAGATTTCACAAGCATATATAATTTATAATTTACATCACATAAAAGATAAATGAAAGGCAACAGACCGCACGATTCCTCAAGAAGACTCCATCATACGTGATTCTCCCAAAATTCTCAAATTCTTGCTGAATATCCATACTTGTGATGGTAGAAGGCAAGTTCCTCACATAGACAGATTTCGGTTCTCCTGAATAAACAATTTATATAATTACATAACAGAACCAAATAATTAAAGAATATTGTTTTAATCCACATGTAGGAAACTTGGAAAGAAAATAATAATGTGTGGATATATCATCCTTCAGAGTCTTTTAGGTAAAAAACACACAAATGAAAAACGAATATTTACAACCCAAAGGCCAAAGCATAGACTGCCACAAATTGAATTTTATAATTTAAATATTACCATTGTATCAATCCAACAAAAGTAACCTCAAAAGTCGTACCAGAAAAGATATGCAAATAAATTTGCAATTAAAATGACAATGCATTAGGAAAGAGATCTGAACCCTTAGGAATTCTATTGGTTATAGCATAAAAAGATAGTAACATGTGTGCAGTGAAACAAATGTATTTAATAGGATATTAATAGGCTTTACCCTCATGTGATGACAATGCATCTTCCCTGACATCCGAACCAAAATTCGTTGGATTTGGGGTTGAGTGTTGCTGCAAAGGTTTGGACACATGGTTCCAATCTGTAACAGGTGGTCTCTGAGTGAAAGCTGGCTGAGAACTTAATGATGGTGGAGATTTTCCTTTAGCCCTCAGCTTCCAAGTCAAAATCGAATAATAAATTTAGCATGACGATCTTTGTAGATAAATGAATAATAAAAATAGTATATATTCTCAACAGAATTCCTCCAAAGTCAATAATGCAAATATATAAGAAAGAGCAGTCACCACGATAAAAAAGTATAGTTTCAGTTCGCAAGCCAGTATGGTATCATTTACTTTTAATAACAACTCTAAGTGATATAGTCAAAAGCAATACCTTGGCATACATTACACAAGTACTAAGCAGATGTCTAATCTTCTTTCTCACTAATATTTATTAGGTTATCCTGCAGCAATTGTAGCCAAGACATATGCATATTCCTAGGCAGCTCACTATCAGGTAACATAAAACCATTACTTTTCATGCACTTCGGCAATGATTTCGAAGAAAAATCTACATGACACAATAATTATTTATTTCTTGAAGTAGATCGAAGTAAAATAATGCTTACTATAGAAGCATAGGTCAGCTTCTCGGGTTCTCCAATAGATTCCTCGACAGAAAGGTGAGGTTCTTGCACAGTAGTTACTGTATTTTGAAGCAACGGATTAGGTTCTTCATAAGGAGTTCCATCATCAAGTCTGTCAGCCTCAGACTCCAACTCGGGCTCAAGCTCAGGCTGCATCTCGTGCTCGGCTTCCGGCTGAAGATGCTCTTGATAAGCAAAATCCTGAACTGGCTCATCTCTGTCAATATGAACAGAGTGAACATATTCTGCTGCCTCCTCCTCCAGTGCATAGGCAGACACTGCTGAAGAACAGACTTACTTAGATTTACTCTAACTCAAAAATGAAGAAGGTAAAATTGCAGTAGCATGGAAAATAATCTTAAGAAACCAGAGAAAAGAGGTTCAAAAGAACTTACAAGTCAAAAAGAAAAAGGAAGAAAAATAGTTAGAACATTCTTGTAACCCTTCATGATAAATTTGAGATTTTCATCAATTACCCAACAGCATGAATCATATTCTTCCTGACATCTGTTATTGATATAACACTCCAACAAAATGGAAGACTACCCTCCAAGTTTAAGCCAGAAGCTTGAAATCCATTTGATAATCTTGAATCTTGATATACTTGATTTGAGCTAGATGCGGTAGAAACATGTACATTATTATTTGCATATTTATGGAGATTAATTGCATAAGTCTAACCAATATTAGACAATCATGCAATCCTTAATCCAAGAATTGGGACATATATCGTACTTTCATTAAAAACTGACTATATTATAGTCACATTTTAATGTGAACAAGATTCGTCACCATCGATTCAATAGAGATAATCAACAGCACAAAATTTGTCTTTTCTTTAATAGGTCTCATTGCTCTCATGCCAGCAATGGTTACATTTGAATCTACAGGAAACCTAGCGTGCTCATAATAAACTAAAATGATCATAAGTCAGTCAACTATACCGGGTGGATCAGGATGATGAGTAGAAATAGTCGGGTGATAATCAACATTCCGTTCCTGTGTTGGTACTTGAGATGAAGATTGGTGTGCCACTTCATTATCAGCAAAATGGAACATATCATTGAGAACAAAATAACCTTTCTCTTGTGGAGCAAGGAAAAAGGTCTGCACGAATGTCCTCCAATAATTGAAATCTATCAACTTGACGGAGCCAGTAACAACCACAAGAACGCCACGATTCCATGATTCAAGGGAATTAATTGTCTTGATCTCAATACCAGTGAAATTGAGTGACATGAGCAGTTGATGAATTTTCTGCATTAGGAGAGACATGGTTGCATGTACCACCAATTAGAAACTTGATTTTATGCTTTTAATCAATTATCTACTCAAACCCAAAAGCCCGTAGCAGTGCTCCGTACTGTCCCTCGGTTTTTGAAAAAACAATAATAAAAAGCCTATATTTATTCACCAGTTAAAGCATGCAGGAACTGTCTGGTTAGTGATTTCCATCAGTCAAAACATATACAACATCAACAGCAGATACATAAACTCGTGAACAACTAGGGAGCATCATCACCATGCACAAAGGAAATCCTGGAACGAGCAGCATATCCTTATCAGAAAGCATATTCTGAATCTCTCTTAAAGTTCAGAATATAAGAAACTATCACCATAAATATTCAACAACACAATTGTAAGAAGACAACCTACTTCATAAATAATAATAATAATAAATAAATAAATAAATAAAAACTTATCATGATTAGCTCAACATCAAATCATGTTCATATAAAAGAATAAGGTATCATGCTGATTCTTGGTACTTTATTCACTTTATGGAAAGACTGATTTGAGCTAAACAAATCGGCCAATTTGCTCCAAGTACCCTACTTAACGAGGCAGGTATGTAAAGCTTACAAAAAGTTCATATTTTTATTTATGACCACACTTTTACTGGCATATGATTTCACAAAAACTTATAGTGTCATCAGTCCCTGCAACAAATTACACATCGCAGAATCAAGAATTATGAAAATGGATCACAGGCAACAAGCACAGCACAATCGTACAAAGTCTCACCACACACTAAACTCTGAAGGAACCAAGATTCATCAAAAATCCAATTTCAAGCCAAAAGAATAAATAAATATCTCTAAATCTAAGAAGGAAAATGTGCCATTACCACCATATCGGACGCTGAATGGCTGATTTCGCCATCAACTCTAAGCATGGTGCTCGACTCATTGTAGAACTGATGCACGTAATCCCGCTGCTGCTGAAACACCTGATAGTATTGCTGAACAAAGTATGAACCAACCTAATAATCCCAAAAATGGGTATCAAGATTTAAGAAGCTGGAAAAAAATGGAACTATTTCGAGTATTGATAAATGAAAAATACGCAAAATGAGGGGTGCGAGTGTTTTGATTTTACCTGAGTCGCGGTGACCTGAGATGCGTATTGATTCGCCATTCTCCCCCTTCTGCCAATCCCTCGATAAAAGGAGATCGCAAAATAAAACCCTAGATCAGAAAACCCTTATTCAGAAAGAAAGAGAAATATGTATATATATATATATACTCTAGTTTTTGTTTTATTATAGAAAAGAAATAATTTATTCTCTTACGTTTTAGTATAAGAAGAAAGAAGTAGCCAGCTGCGAAATGGAGTTACAGTTAGACGTGGCCAAAACCCGGGCCGGTCAGGCCCGGCCTTGCCCGCCGGGTGGCCGGGCTCAAAAATCCGGACCCTGAACCGACACGAACTTATACTTCTGTCGGGTCCGTGCCCGAGTCGGGTCGTGTCCGGATTGGGTCCGTGTCCGAACCTAATTAAATAATTTATATTTATATCTATATTCATTAATATATAATAAAAATAGGAATTTACTAAATAAAATTAAAATCCCGCCTAAAAATTTAGGTATGTTTGCATATAAGAATTTAAAAAAAAAAAAAAAATCTAGCGTTTTAACTCAATCACTTTTTTTAACTCAACTTTAGCTCAACTCCACTATCGCCAATATTATCAATATAATTAAATAATATCAATCAATCATTTATACACATCACGTCAACCTTAATTCACTATTTATACACACCACATCAACTAACCACTCTCTCTCTCTCTCTCTCTCTCTCTCTCTCTCTCTCTCTCTCTCTCTCTCTCTCTCTCTCTCCTCTCCAAACTAAGCTCCTGTCAACTGGGGCTCGAGATACTACGAGCTCATACGCCAAAATCTGGGGCGGCAACCACTGAAATTAATTATTGGTTCATTATTTTTGATTTGCCATGGTCGGTGGCGAGTTGCAGTCAGTTTTCCGTCAATCATGGAAAAGGCGAGCTGAGCATTGGTTTGGGGTTGCAAGCAGGGCGCCGACGACAACAAGAGTTGGGGCCAGTCATTAATGTTGTTGCGAGGAAGATGGTCGGACGTCGCGAGGACTTTTCGGCGAGAAGTTGCTGGTCACGCTGTGGTCGGAGATGAATAATCGTCGATCATCCTGCTAGCCGAAAAAATGACCAATTTTCTAGCAGACGACCAGTGACGGGGCTTCAAGCGCGACGAATAAAAGGCCGATTCTTGTGCTACGTTGACGACAACGGATCGCTTGATACGCGGACAGAAAATGCCGGAGGGAAGCTTAATCCTCATGGACGCACGCTGGCTATATTTTTTTTTTTCAAGCACGGCTTCAAGTGTTTAGCCGGTCTTGGTGGTTGCATGCGGTTGTGGCAACCTAAGTCATTTATGGTCGTGCGTGGGTCACGCTGCGACTGTACGAGGTCGTTTGCTATTTGTGCAGAGAAAAGGTCGATTGGTGCTGAACGAGGACGGATCAGAACTCGTGAGGAAGACGATCGACCGAAGATTTTCTAACTGCTGAGGAACTCGGACGATAGGTGTTGGTCGGAGATGGCAGGTGTTAGTGAAATAGATTTCACCCGGGCTCCTTAAACTCGAACGGCCTCCGTACATGCAAGAATCCAACGTCGGGAGGGGTCCCGGTGTCGGGCCTCCGATGCCTAAGTCAATATCACTCCAAACTCAAGTCTCAAGAGTATAATTATAAATGAAGAGAGAATGAGGTTTTGGGATACCTTAGCCCTCTTTTATAGGGGGAGTGTACCTTAGTGCCTAAGTTGAGCTTGGCCCATACCATTATGCCATGTGTCCTAGCCCATATGTGGACTTATTCTCCAATATATTCTTTCTTATCCATTAAAGCCGGTCTAGTATAATATCCCATATCAGCAGGGCTTATGTTTCCATGATGATGACCGACAATAGGGTTGTTGTTCCAAAGACGAGCTGAAGGTCGAAGATGGCCATAAGACGCCAAGGCTGGTCGCACTCTTTCTCGAATAAGATGACTGAGATTCTGAGCCGGATATGGCTATCTGCATATGAATTTTTTCAGGTGTATTTTTTTCAGCATGGGACGTGTAAAATTCCCACTACTGCGTGAATAAGACGGCCGGTTAAGGAATGGACGAACGATAAGAAAAGCTCCGTCATAGGCAGTACGTGAAACGAAGAGCATGCTAGCCTAGCGAGTTCATTTTTTTCGGACGAAATTATTGCAGTCAATAGTTTTTTTTAACGCATTTCGCCTGAGAAATCTGGGCACGTGCACATGTGTTGGAGTCCATAACAGATATGGAATTAAACCGTTCCAATTCGAACTGGACTATTGTTCCTTAGTTGAAATTATTTATTCATTTTCATATTTATTGGTATTATTTATTTAATATGCCTACTATTTTCTATGAGATGTTGCAGACTAACTGTGTAATACGTATGGTAATTAATTTATTGCTATTGGTACCATAGATAATTAATTACTGTAAATGTTCAGAAAATTATGACTTCGTCATATGTTTTGGATTTATTTTCCAAAATTATGACTCCATAATGTGTTTTGGATTTTTTTCGTACATTAGCAATCGTTAATGGTTGATTGAATGCAATATTTTCAGATAATATCTTCATCATAACATTCAATATTCTAATCAGAAATGTTATATCATAAAATTCACCGATAGTACTATCTACTTACTCAAATATTTTAGGCTTGATACATATTATTTTTAGAAAATCTCTACAACACAATCATATACATCATATTTAAAATCCCTACTATCGTGTGAAACTTTGTTAACTTTTTTGAAAAATCACACGGCAGTTGGTTGTCAAAATTTATCAAACTACAACACATTTTTATAGAATCAGTGATTTTTTTTATAAAATTTTCTCAAAAACCACACCGGCAATTGGGTGTCCATATTTGGATGTTTAGATTATTTTGCGAGATAAAAATTTTTAGAAAATCACCACTACATAAAATTTTCTATCATAAAATTCACCGATAAATCTGTTTAATTACTAATGTTCCTTTTTATGCTTAATATATTTAATATTGTAATAAAAACAAATATATATATATATATATATATATGTGTGTGTGTGTGTGTGTGTGTGATTCTGTTTTTAGTTATTTTGAGATAATATAAATTCTAGAAATTGAATAGAATGCATATATGGCACAATATTTATTGTAAGGATCATGAAAATTTTGCTTCCAAAAAATTTGGTCAATCATTTTCTTAATTATTTCAGGTCAAACATGCAAATTTGGTGACAAAAATCTGGTCAATTATTTACCAAATAAAGAGGTGTTAATATTGCTTCCCAAGTATGAGCCTAACTTTGGGCCAAGTCACTCTGCTCATACTTGAATAATATTTCAGTCCATTAAATAAATATTATTGCACTTCCCATTTAGCTCCCAAATTACATGTGATGCTCCAATTATAATTATTCGATTTACCTCTCCACGTTTAAGATATAATATTCATCAATTAATTAATTACTAACAATATAATTAATTGACTTCTTGAACCGAAATTAGTACCACTCAATTCTTTATTATCATGCCGTAACTCAATCCACCTGTAGGGCTTGAAATAATAATTCTTTTTTAGCTCACTTCTGAGACATCATCAGACTGGTGCACACTGTGACCGTAAATAATCGAACCGCACACAATACACACAACTTCGCTACCCAACACACATCATACTATTGACCCAACATAATGGATCTTACATTTTAGTGAATCAAAGTAGTAGGTACTATCGGCACGTGCTTATTTATATCTTACTGTTCAAAGAAGGAAATAATTAACCGATGTCTAGTTCATTTACTTAGTACAAAAACAAAATTATCCTCTATGGGATTTGTCTAATACATACAAGATGTACTAATGCAACCAATCAACCAAAACAGACTGTACAATTGACACTAGTGTTAGGATATGCTGTAAAAACTTGGCTTTCAGATACTGACAATTCTATTTTTATCGGTCATCGTGGTTTAGTCAAAGTATTTATGTTTGCAGTTTATTTATCTATGCAATCATAACTCCTTTATTTTACATTGTAGACGGTATGGTTCGTCGTGTCAAACAGAAAGATCACACTATCGGTTCCTTGTAAAATATAAAATAATTGTTCCCAGTCTAGACAGACAGTGAGACCCTTGTTAGAAAAAGATTGTAGTGTAAGTCTAGATTTGGTTGATATTTGACTGATGGATTACACTAGTACTTATGATAAGTATTGAACGGGCAGCGGAAGGAAAGAATTATAAGATTTACTGATCGTTGTTATAATCTAGATCTTCAGTAATTGATGCGTACTCTTAAGCTGTAAGATAATATAAAACGGGGATATATATTTGTCACTTATTTATTTGATTTACCAAGGGTGATTCCTATTTTGCTAGGATGACATACTCGGTATTTTGGTAGATGATAATGATGTTTATGTAATGTGCTGTTATAAATTGATTATGGTCACTATTTCTCAGTGCGCTGGGTTGATGACGTCCCCAAAATGATCTCAGGAAGGAATATTATGTCAAACCCTGCAGGTGGATGATTATCCTACATAATGATTAATGAACTGAGTGGTACTAGTTTCAGAAATGAATAAGAAGTCGATTTAATTTTATTATCAGTAATTAAATTAATTGACGAACATTATATCTTAAACATAGGGAGATAAATCGATCAATTAGATTAATATTTATTAATCAAATGGAGGTTCAAATTTATTGAATAAATTGGAGCTAATGGGTAGATCAATAATATTACTCTAGTGGGATTTTTTATTATTTAATTCTATTTAAGAATTAAGAATTAATTATATTCTATAATTCAGATTCCTTTATGAGTGGAATATGCCTTCCAGAATATTATCCTACGGTTAGGAGACTTTGGAGTCTTTTAGAAGGGTGATTAGGTTTAGGAGGAATAGGATTCCTAAATGGGAAAGGATATGGAACATAATTAGAATTCCTAAAGCTAATGGGATAAACCTATAGTTAGCACCTCCTTAAGGTCCCTAATGTAGTCTATAAATACACCATGTCCCAACCTCTTCCCATACACATGTGAGGCACGATTTTAAGGTCTTCCCAAGAGAGGAAAATCGAGCATCATAATATTCGAGAGTTCGGGAGTTTCGATTAATCGCACCACCAAGATTATTCGAAGTAGGTGTTTAGGTAATATATTAGAAGGCTTTAAAGTACAATTTATTCGAGCCTTTTAATCGTACAAAACCGGCCATCTACGATCGCCGTCCGCCGCCGTCGAATATTGCCTTCACCACCGGAAGCCGTCAGTGCCCAGCTGCACGCAGCCGCGAGCTCCCAGTCGCAGCCGCACGCAGCCAGACGCCGATGCCCAGTCCAGTGACGCCTGCATGCCGTCCCAGTCCGCGCTCGCAGCCACCATCCGTGTTCCTCGCGCGCACTTGTGCGCCTGACCGTCTGCGCGTGTCCAACAGCCACCCGCATTCGTCGCACGTGTTCTAGTCCTCACAGGAGTAGGACTTCTGTGACCGCACACGCCTGAAGTCCTCGCGCGCTGCATATGCCCATCAGTGAGCAACGCACCACACGCTCGTCAGCCAGCCCGTAGCTAGACCATGTCGTCTGTCCGCGACCAGCACGACCTGCCAGACGCCAGTCGTGACCCGCAGCAGCTCGACCGAGGCCAGCGTCCTTCTCCTTCTCGATCTGGTTGTCGTCCTGTTTCTTCTTGGATCGTCTTTCCCAGGCGAATACTACAAATTATTCAAACTACAAAATTATATTGTAAACTATGAACAAAAATTTGAGATTTACCTTTCTTGTGCGTGATCTTCTTTGATAAGAACCATAAAAACTGACACATGTTGTGAAGTGAACGATCGTGGTGTCAAGGTAGACCAGAAATGCTTATCGTGGTTTTCCGAGAATTTCTTTCCCCGTGATTTGTCTGC